CCTAGGGGCGATGCTAGGGACGGGAGGGACGAATTGGAACTGCCCGGCAGTGTGTATCCAAGGTTTATTTATTTTAAGGAATAACGCAGACGGATATCATCCACAACAACGATAGCATTCGGTGGCGACAAACAACAGAGAGAGAGGGCGAGAGAGAGAGGAAGAGAGAGAGGGGGAGAGAGAGAGAGAGATGCCGGCGTGGCAGCGAGCAGAGGTTGCCATTCCGTCGTACAGCTGGAGTGAAGTCTGTCATGGCTTGATATGTAAGTTTGGTCTGTACTCCCTCCATTTCTTTTTACTCCGCGTATAAGATTTGGTCAAAGTCAAACTACACAATGTTTGACCAAATTTATATCGAAAAATATGAACATCTACAATACTAAAACTATAAAGTATGAAAATACATTTCATGATGCATCTGGTAATATTGATTTCATATTGTGAATCTCGATAGTTTTTTCTATAAACTTAGTCAAAGTTAACAAAGTTTGACTTTGACCAAATCTTATATGCAGACTAAAAAGAAATAGAGAGAGTACTACCTAGCTAGCAAGGGTTTCTGATGTGGATTCGGCACTGTAGATCGAGTACTGTCACACAGTCACAGTCTAGTGTGTATTCAGCATGTTAAAAAGAAAGAGAGGATAGATAGCAGCCATTAACAGGAGGAGACACCATTTTCGTCGATCCTGTGGTCGAGAGTAAGATTGTCTGTCAGGCCCCAAGTCGATCTGCCGTATGACACCCCAAAGGTACAGCCAAATATTCAGAGTCTAGAAAACAGAGCTAGAGCAGAGGAAGCGATAGGCAAGTTGGAAAGGGAGAGCCGAGAAAACAGAGCAAAGCAGAGGAAAGCACAAATGCAGTCTGTCAGTTCTGAGGGTCCATCTTTGCCCAGTGCCTTCTGCCTTCACAAAGCTCGTTGATGATCTTTGTGGACCTCATCATCATCAATGGATCTTCGGCAGGTAAGCTTCACAACTCACAGAACACACAACCCATTCAACCGGAGGGGAGGGGGGAGGGGAGGGGGGAGGGGGTCAATCAAAAGAGTAGAACAGGAGTATCGTCTAGCCCATAAATCACAGTCACTTTCGCCATTGAGCACGTTGGGCAGAGGAGGAGCGTAAGGGACTCTTGATGTTCAGAAGTAACTGATAGTACATATAAAGTTTGCTGATAGTAACATTTTTTGGAATCCAAAATGCAATACAAAAACAAAACATCTAGAAACTAAACAAACCCGATGTTTCTTCAGGCAGTTCATCCCAGACCCATTCATATCTTCTATTTTGAACGAAGGCCAGGCCGATGTTTCTGCAGCTACTGCATGACATAGTAACAGAAGAGCGGTGTCAGTCAAATAAACAATAACGAACAAGTCCAAGATGATCATCTCATAGCACGTAAACAACAACAAAAGTCATTATAAGCGGAACATGATATCATTGCTATCAACATTTTTTTCCTTTATTCCCAGGAGGTAAAATATATGTTTTTCAAAGAGTTATATGAACAATTATTTAGATATGCAAACATTTTTTAAACTATATTTTTAAGTACATGAACATTAACCTGAAAAAAAGTACTACCTCCATCATAAAATAAGTGACTTTGGGACGGTGGGAGTACATGAACATTTTATTCCATCGTGAACATTATTTTATCTAAATTTCAAATAGTATGAGTACTTCACCATTTTACCTGCTTCTTTCTTATAAAATATAAAACGTTTTGACAAATACATTATGTTTCAAAATATATGATGACATATTAATACACAGCGGACATCTTACAAATACACTATGAGTATTTTTAAATAGATGCTGAACTTTTAAAATACGTGATATTTTTTGTAAATGGAAGATGAACATTCTTCTAATAACAATTAATTTTTTAATTCATGTAGAACATTTAATATTATAAGATGGATATTTTTTTACATGGGAGCATTTGTCAATACATGATTAAAAAATTGATAAATACACAATAGAGAGTTTTTCATGCACGATGAACAATTTTTAGATACACCATGAACATTTTGTAAATAAACGCTGCACATTTTTTAATACGTAGTCGATATTTTTCTATATACATGATGAACATTTGATAATACACCATGAATATTTATAAAATACTACATGATTAATATTTATGAATTACTTTTATGATACTTTTTTAAGCACACGGTGACATTTTAAAGACGCATTGAGATATTTTCAGGTACACATTGATTTTTTAAATATATGATGAACATTTTACAAACAATGTTATATAGTTTGAAAATCATAGAGTACCTTTTTTAAATTATACATATTTTTATATTCACGATTTTTTTGGCCATACTAGAACATTTTTGTTTTTAAAATGCAAGAATATATCTCTTTGGCATGATAACGTTTTTGTTATACAGAAATAAATTTTCCAATAGACATGATTTTTTTATATACGCGAATACTTTTTGAAATACATGAATATTTTATTTTAAAAGCAGGTGATATTTGTTTAATTTACTTAAAAATATAAAAAAACAAAAATATAAGAAAAAAGAGAAGATTAGGCGCTGCTGGGCCTAGTCTAAGCGACTCCCCCCGCCGCCGCCGCCACCGCCGCCGCGACGAGGCCGCCATCGGCTGCTGCGCGGCTGCTCTCCTGCGATGCCGCGCGCTGCGCCTCGCCAGCCAAGGACGAGGCCCACGTCGCCGCCGACCTCAAGAGGATCCTAACCGGGTCTTCCAATATTGCCGCCGGAGCCGGAGGAGGCTGGCCGCGCTCGCCAAGGTGCCCGCCGTGCACGGGACTTTTGGCCCGTCGGCGCGACCGCGCGAGCCTCCACGCTCCCGTCAGGCTGGGGAAGTGGGACGGCGCTGCCGCTGAAACCGGCGAGGGGAAGGAGGAGGAGGCTTTGATGGGATGGGGCAGGCCACAAGCCTCGTGTGGTCGGCGCACTCGATGTGCAAGCTGAGCGTCCCCCGGGCGAGCTATCGGAGAAGCTCGTAGCCAGCAACAGCTCATCAGAGAAATCCAAAGGCGACTTCTTCTCTACTGATGCTGCAGAGGTTACGGATTGGGGAAAAGAAAGCTGTCGCTCTTGTTTTCCCCAATGTAGAGATTGCCTAAAGTTCCCAAGGTATGAATCAATGAACCACTGCGCATGTTTTTTGTTACTTATATTCCGTAGATTTCAGAAGCATCTTGAACAAATAGCAAGAGTCAATTCTCTGTACAAATGTTTATCCTTACTCCTGCTAGGGAACACGTACGTGACTTTTGGGGGAGATCAAATGGCCATAAGGCGGCATGCGCTTTCAACAATAACATGCGTATTTGAGATCCATGGTGCTGTTCAAATTGATGCACCCTCATGGGCAAATATGGTGAAGACTGGTATCTGACCTTGCTGCTCAGGTACATGCAGTTTCAGTGTCCTTTTATAATTAGCTAATGTTAGCGGAAGGGTTTGGTTTTGCTGAGAATCCCAAATTCTGTTTGATTTGTCATGTGCTGGTTCTGTATATAAATTATATTCAGACAAGTTTAATTGTTGAATTGTTAGTATGGCGCCATTCAGCAACTCCATCAGTCCTTTATTGCATTATATACATTCCTAGATATTTCAACTTTGAAGGGTGTTGAGCTTTGCTCTCTGCGGTATGATCTGACCATTTTCATTTGCCCGGTATCTTGCCATGAATAACATAAGTGCACTGAGGAGGTACCAGATAGCAAAACTATACAGGAGAGAGATAACCCATCAAAGGGAAGATACCGAGGATTCTACCAGCGTGACTTTGACATAGCTGGAGTATATGAGCCAATGGAATTCTGACAGAATTGCTGGATAGACTAGATATTGGCACGTATGATAAAACTAAATCACAGAAAGTTGCTTGATGTCATGCTGGAGATCTGCGGTGTGCCTCCTGACAAGTTCAGAATGGCCTGCTCAACCATCGACAAGCTTGACAGACTGACATTCGAGGAGGTGAAGTAAGAACAGGTATGCATGCAGTGGTACTAACTACTCTGTTTCTTGGC